CAGATCCTTTGTATTCAGAGAGCCATTCAACAGAAATTGGAAGTGTTCACTTTTGAAGGGACAGAATTGAAGCTCAATCCAAATTGTTTTGTAGCTATTACCATGAATCCTGGCTATGCAGGACGCTCTGAATTGCCAGACAACCTTAAGGTAATATTTTTTAAGAGTGTAAGTTTGTTAATCAAAAATAACAGCATAATTCATTCAAATTTTATAATTTTCCACATATATTTATAATTTCTCTTTTACCTTTGCCATTTACTATAAGGTAAACCTCCAAAAATTTTTCTAGACATCCAAAAAATATGAAGTACATAAAAATATTAAAGTACTACTGAAAAAATTACAGAATTTAGGAAAAGGTGCTGCATTTGGTGACTAAACTAGAATATTAATGGAATATCTCCTGTATTATCATTTCAGCTTAAAAACAGCTTAATTATGTAAATAATATATTTCATTTATTATATACTTCAGGTTCTTTTTAGAACAGTGGCTATGATGGTTCCAAACTATGCTCTTATAGCAGAAATCTCCCTCTACTCATATGGATTTTTGAATGCAAAGCCTCTGTCTGTGAAGATAGTGATGACCTATAGGCTTTGCTCAGAGCAGCTGTCGTCACAATTTCATTATGACTATGGCATGCGAGCAGTAAAAGCAGTTTTAGTGGCTGCTGGAAACCTAAAACTAAAATATCCAGATGAAAATGAAGATATACTTGTAAGTATTTAAATATGTATGTTGTGAAAGTTTCAGAAGAAAGATAATTTTTTTTAGTAGGGGGGATCAGGAATTATAACCAGGCAATTGAGAGAGAGGGTTGTTGGTTCAAGTCTTTTCATATGGGGTTAAAATGACAGTTTTTTGTTATGTTATTTATTATACTTTTTATGAATACAAAGACTTTTTAGCATGAAAAGCATGCTTTTACTAAGCATGCTTAGTAAAAGCATAGTATTGGCTTTTTATTATGGGGCTTCCATGGAGCAATGTAAAATAAACTTTGACCTTTGGCTAGTGGGGTGGGGTGGGGTCAAGAGGGGGAAGTAGGGTCGTAAATGCTGACAATTAATTTATATTGTACTTTTTGGGTGATTTTAGCTTCTTCGATCAATTAAAGATGTAAATGAACCAAAGTTTTTATCACATGATATACCTTTATTTAATGGAATAACTAGTGACTTATTTCCTGGTATTAAACTTCCTGAAGCTGACTATCATGTAAGTAAGAGTTTCATTCAACATAATGTTCTCCAGTTCTCCAGTTCCATCCATGTTACTGCAAATAGCAGGATTCCATTCTTTTCAATGGGTATAGAATATTCCACTGGATATATGTACCATAATTTCTTATCCCTTCATCTGTTGATGGACACTTAGGTTGATTCCAAATCTTGGCTGTTGTGAATAGTGCTGCAATAAACATGGGAGTGCAGATATCTTTTTGATATACTAAATTCCCTTCTTTTGGATAAATACCTAGCAGTGGGATTGCTAGGTCATATGTAGTTCTATTTTTAGTTTTTTGAGGAGCCTCTATACTGTTCTTCATAGTGGCTGCACTAATTTATATTCCCACCAACAGCGTACGAGGTTTCCCCTTTCTCCATATCTCACCAGCATTTGTTATTGCCTGTCTTTTTGATAAAAGCCATCTTAAGTGGGGTGAGATGATATCTCATTGTAGTTTTGATTTCATTTCTCTGATGACTAATGATGTTGAACATTTTTTTTATATACCTCTTGTCCATTTATATGTCTTTTTTTGAGAAATGTCTATTCAGATCTTTTGCCTATTTTTAATTGGATTTGATTTTTTCCTATTGAGTTATTTGAGCTCCTTATATATACTAGTTATTGGTCCTTTGTCAGATGAGTAGTTTGCAAGTATTTTCTCCTATTCTGTGGGCTGTCTCTTCCCTTTGTTGGTTGTTTCCTTTGCTGTGCAGATGCTTTTTAGCTTTATATGATCCCATCGGTCCAATTTTGCTTTGGCTGCCAGTGCTTAAAGGCATCATTTACTTTTTTGTCTCTTTTTAAAAATTCTCTGGCTTGAATACTAATATGCATTTCATAGCAGTACCAGGTTAAGATAGCTATCAAGATGATTCAGGATATGCTAATATGATTTTTTAAAAATCAAAATGAAAATACATAATTTTAACATTTTCTTGAAGAACTTTTGTGCTTCTATGAAAATAGCCAAGACCCATATAGCAAAAGCAGTCCTAGGCAATAAGAACAAAATGGGAGGCATCAATTTACTAGACTACACTATAAGGCTATAGTAATTAAAACATCTTGATACTGGCACAAGAACAGGGACATTGACCAGTGGAACAGAACTGAGAACCCAGATATAAAACCATCCTCATATAGCCATCTAACCTTTGACAAAGCAGACAAAAACATACACTGGGAAAAAGAATCCTTATTCAATAAATGGTGCTGGGAAAACTGGATAGCCATGTGTAGAAGACTGAAACAGGATCCACACCTTTCACCTCTCAAAAAAATCAACTCACGGTGGGTAACAGACTTAAACCTAAGGTATGACACTATTAGAATTTTAGAAGAAAATGTTGGGAAACTCTTATAGACATTGGCCTAGGCAAAGGATTTATGAAGAAGACCCCAAAGGCAATCACAGCAGCAACAAAAATAAATAAATGGGACCTGATCAAATTAAAAAGCTTCTACACAGCCAAAGAAATTGTCACAAGAGCAAACAGACAACCTTCATAATGGGAGAAAAATTTCGCAAGCTACACATCCGATAAAGGGCTGATAACTAGAATCTATTTAGAACTCAGGAAAATCAGCAAGAAAAAATCAAACAACCCTATCAAAAAGTGGACAAAGGACATGAACACAAACTTTCCAAAAGAAGACAGAATAATGGCCAACAAACATGAAAAATGCTTAATATCTCCAATCGTCAGGGAAATGTAAATCAAAACCACAATGAGATATCACTTAACTCCAGTGAGAATGGCCTTTATCAAAAAGTCCCCAAATAATAGATGTTGGTGTGGATGCGGAGAGAGAGGAACACTCGTACACTGCTAGTGGGACTCCAAACTAGTTCAACCTCTGTAGAAAGCAATATGGAGATACCTTAAAGCGATACAAGTGAATCTACCATTTGATCCAGCAATCCCATTGCTGGGCATCTACCCAAAAGAACAAAAGACATTCTATAAAAAAGACACCTGCACTCGAATGTTTATAGCAGCACAACTCACAATTGCAGAGATGTGGAAACAACCCCAAGTGCCCATCAATACATGAGTGGATTAATAAAATGTGGTATATGTATACCATGGAGCACTACTCAGCTTTAAGAAACAATGGAGATATTGCACCTGTTGTATTTTCCTGGATAGAGCTGGAACCCATTCTACTAAGTGAAGTATCCCAAGAATGGAAAAACAATCACCACACGTACTCACCAGCAAATTGGTTTCACTGACCGACACCTAAGAGCACATATGGGAATAACATTCATCGGGCACCGGGCAGATGGGAGCGAGAAGTAAGGGATGGGTCTATACACACACAGTGAGTGCGGTGCGCACCGCCGGGGGGATGGACACACTCGAAGCTCTGACTCGGTGGGGAGGAGACAAGGGCAATGTACATAACTTAAACATTTGTACCCCCACAATATGCTGAAATAAAAAAATAAATAAAAAAGAAAATAGCCCATAGATCCATAGATTCTAGTTTGAAAAATACTACTAAATATGCCAGCTTGCTTTTTTTTCTTCTTTTTTTTTTTAACTTGCTTTTTAATATGTTCTTTGTTCCCTTCTTTTTCCTTTATTGACCTATTTTGGATTTCAAGTAAAGTTTATCACTCCATTTTATCTTCTCTATTGGCTCTTTATTTTACCATAGTGGTCACTCCACAGTTTATGATATATAATATGTCCTTGGTTTATTACAACTTACATTAAGTTAATATTTTCTCATCTTACAATCTATGCACTTTATATGGTATGCTTCCATTATTCACTCACCTCTGCCCATTGTGCTATTGTTGCAATATATTTTACTTCTATGTATTTTATAAGTGCTACAATACATTGTTATTATTTTTCACTTTAGATATTAGTATTTTTTAAGTCTTACATTTACCCTTTCTAGTGCTTTTTATTTCTTCTAGCAGAAATGTGTCTTCATCTGTGATCTTTTCTCTCTTTTAATTTTAAATTTTTGTTTCAGAATATTATGAGAGTACAGTCATTTTGGTTACATAATTGCTTTTGTACAGTTTGAGTCAAAGTGATTGTACCTGTTAGGTATGAATTCACTCCTCCCCTCCTCCCTCTCCCGTCTGCTCGATTTCTGATGAGTGTTATTTCTGTATGTGCACTTAAGTATTGATCAATTAGTTCCAATGTAATGGTGAGTACATGTGGACCTTTTCTCTTTAGAGCTTCCTTTAGTATTTCATGTGTGTATGTGGTTCTTCTGCAAAGAAGTCTCTCTTTATTTGTCTGAAAGTGTCTTTATTTAATCTTCATGTTTGAAAAATATTTTTACTGGGTATAGAATTCTAAATTGGCAGGGTATCTCCCTCCTACCCCACAGCATTTAAAGATGCCATTCCATTGACTCATGGCTTTTAGTTTTGTATTTAGAACTGGGCATTTTTCTTATTTATGCTTTCCTGAATGTAATGTGTTTTTTCTTCTAGCTCTTTTTAATATTTTCTCTTTTTCCTTGGTTTTAAGCAGTTCAACTGTGTCTAATGTTGTTTGTTTTATTCTTATACTGCTTGGGATTTGCTATGCTTCTTGAATCTGTGGGTTGATGTGTTTCTCCAGAAAATTTTCAGTAATTA